AGAAACACAAATTGTCAACAGCACATGTCAAAATATATGAAGTAAATATCCTCAAATCCAACTCTTACTTTGCCTATCTGTGAATTTTGATTATTATTGGTGGAAATATTTTTTCATCACTTTGTATGTGCACGGTGAAATCATCATTTATCAACATTTATCGATGAAAACTTAATCCTTCCAAGCCTAATTATATTGCAGCTGGCCTGCTCCTGTTACTGTTCTTGGATGTAGTTGTGGCTGGTGTTTTACTGATACCCATGGTACAAATCATCATCTAGTACAGAGGTGGGCAAACTACAGCCCATGGGCCACATCTGGCCTGCAGGACCATCCTGCCTGGCCCTGGAGCTCCCGGCTGGGGAGACTACCTCTGGCCCCTCCCCTGCTGTTCACCCTCCCCAGCAGCCATGCCGCCACGCAGGCAGCGCTCTTGGCAGCAGAGCTGTGAGCTCCTGCCAGGTAAAGAGGCAGCGTGTCTGGCTCCAGCTGGGCAGTGTGGCTGCCAGACATGTTGCTCTGATTGGCATGGTAAGGGGGCTGGGGCTGGGGGGTTGGATAAGGGGCAGGGGGTCCCGGAGGGCAGTCAGGGGACAGGGAGCAGGGGGCGGTTGGATGGGGCGGACATTCTGGGGGAGGGGGCAATCAGGGGATGGGGAATAGAGGGAGTTGGATAAGCATGGGAGTCCTGGGGGGCCTGTCAGGGGGCGGGGGTGTGGATAGGGGTCAGGGGACAGGGAACGGGGGGGGTTGGATAAGCAAGGGGGCCTGGGAGGTTCAGGGTCAGGGCAGTCAATGGACTGGGAGCAGGGGGGTTGGATGGGGGGGTTGGGTCCCGGGGATGGTTAGGGATGGGGGGCCCCGGGAGGGGGCAGTTAGAGGACAAAGAGCAGGGGCGGTTGGATGGGTTGGAGGTTCTGAGGGGGGCAGTCAGGGGGCGGAAAGTGGGAGGGGGCAGATAGGTGGCAGGGGCCAGGCTGTTTGGGAGGCACAGCCTTCCCTACCCATCCCTCCATACAGTTTTGCAACCCCAATGTGGCCCTCGGGCCAAAAGTTTGCTCACCCCTGATCTAGTACCTCATGGTGTTTATCCCACGCATTACACTTGGTTCACATGTCTATGCCAGTGTCATTGTGCTTTGTGTACACCACTGGCTTTCCATGTTTCATGTGGTGACTTAGAACAACGCTGCCTCAGCTCTCGTCCCCTAACGCTCTTACTCTACTTGCGCTACATTGATGACATCTTCATCATTTGGACCCATGGAAAAAAAGCCCTTGAGGAATTCCACCAGGATTTCAACAATTTCCATCCCACCATCAACTTCAGCCTGGACCAGTCCACACAAGAGATCCACTTCCTGGACACTACAGTGCAAATAAGCAGTGGTCACATAAACACCACCCTATACCGGAAACCTACTGACAGCTATACTTACCTACATGCCTCCAGCTTTCATCCAGACCACATCACACAATCCATTGTCTACAGCCAAGCTCTAAGATACAACCGCGTTTGCTCCAATCCCTCAGACAGAGACAAACACCTAAAGCATGCTATCAAGCATTCTTAAAACTGCAATACCCACCTGCTGAAGTGAAGAAAGAGATTGACAGAGCCAAAAGGGTACCCAGACGTCACCTACTACAGGACAGGCGCAACAAAGAAATTAACAGAACGCCACTAGCCATCACCTTCAGCCACCAACTAAAACCTCTCCAACGCATCATCAAGGATCTACTACCTATCCTGAAGGACGATCCCTCACTCTCACAGACCTTGGGAGACAGGCCAGTCCTCGCTTACAGACAGCCTCCCCAACCTGAAGCAAATACTCACCAGCAACCACACACCACACAACAGAACCACTAACCCAGGAATTTATCCTTGCAACAAATCCCATTGCCAACTCTGTCCACATATCTATTGAAGGGACACCATCATAGGATCTAATCACATCAGCCACACCATTCGGGGCTCATTCACCTGCACATCTACCAATGTGATATACGCCATCATGTGCTAGCAATGCTCCTCTGCCATGTACACTGGCCAAACGGGACGGTCTCTATGCAAAAGAATAAAGGGACACAAATCAGACATCAAGAATTATAACATTCAAAAACCAGTCAGAACATTTCAACCTCCCTGGACACTCAATTACAGACTTAAAAGTAGCAATTCTTCAACAAAAAAACTTCAAAAACAGACTCCAATGAGAAACTGCAGAACTGGAATTAATTTGCAAACTAGACACCATCACATTAGGCCTGAATAAAGACTGGAAGTGGATGGGTCATTACACAAACCAAAAACTATTTCCCCATGCTAATTTTTCCCCTACTGTTTCTCACACCTTCTTGTCAACTGTTTGAAATGGGCCACCCTGATTACCACTACAAAAGTGATTTTTTCCTCCTGCTGATAATAGCCCACTTTAATTGAATTGTCTCATTAGAATTGGTAAGGCAACTCCCATCTTTTCATGTATTGCGTATATATATCTTCCTACTGTATTCTCCACTCCATGCATCTGATGAAGTGAGTTTTAGCCCAAGAAAGTTTATGCCCAAATAAATGTGTTCGTCTCTAAGGTGCCACAAGTACTCCTCATTGTTTTTGCTGATACAGACTAACGTGGCTACCACTCTGAAACCTGTCACCTACCTCTGTTACCTAAAACATAATACTGCCATTCCACACTGGAGTTGACTTCATTTCACTGTTTCAAATACTATGGATCTATAGCAAGCATGAAATGTCTGAGTGAAGCAGGACTCTGGCTGAAAGGCAGCTGGCTCAGGCTCAGTTCTAGTAAGATGGTTGGCCAAGAAAGCAGTTCTGAAGAACAGTCAGGAGCTTACCCTGCCTGATGCACAATTTTTTAATTCTGGGGCTTGGCAAGGCTAGACATCTGTGCTTGGGTTGTCAAGCTGCAGCAGCAGCAGTCACCCAGCCTCTGAATGAACTCGGAGGAGTAGGAAACAGAAGTGGCTAAACCATGACAAGGCGTGAATTGGCCATGGCTTTGTTCTTTTGGTCACTTCCACCCTATTCTTTTACGAAAACTTTAGTCTCCTTTAAAGAACTAATGGCATTGTCATGGTTTTGCTCTGTTTGTTGAAGGGTACCTTTTTATCTGTTTGTTTTCCAAGAAGAGGAATAAAATGCAGAGATACAGTATGGCTAATCAGCCGGTGATTGTAAATCAATTCCATCCAGCAGAACCCTGGGCAACTAAAAGATCTGGATGGCTGGAATTCAAAGATGTAAAATATAGTTCTGAAAAGATCTAACTCATTGGAATTCCAGAAAGTTTAACTCAGGGGAGCAGAAAATTTAAAATAACTTCTTTTTTGGGGGGCGATCATTGTCTGTTATTGCACAGATAATATTTAAGGAGATCAACAGTATAGATTTCACTCATTTTTTAAAACTTCATTTCATAAAATTCTGTCTACAATCTTTTTACATGCCAATTTTGTGTTTGATATGTATTTCTGTTTCTCATATTTTTTTCTTGTATCACAGTGAACCTAGCTTCCTTATCTTTTCTTTAATTTTTTTTAATGATTTTGAGTTTTTACCTCCAAAGGGATATTCTGGTTTGTATTGATCTTTGCTTCCTCCCTTGTGGTGATAATCATGGTGTTGTCATAGCTTGTTTTGCCCTCTGTTTTTTCTGTCATTTCTAGTAGATGTAATTACAGTTTGCTTCACATTGATCACAAAACAGATTTTTGTTTTCTAAAACTAAGAGGCTGGGGGGGAGGGTATTAGTTACACAAAGAAACAAAAGTAAATTGTACAGAAAATCATCATAATTTAAACAACATTTATTTTGATTGAATAGTCCAAATTCATTACCATTTGCATTGTTAAAGAATCTGTCTATGGAACTTTAGAATAAGAAGTCAGGTGCATAGATTTAGAATCCATCAGGCAATGGAATCCTCATAGCTAGACCCTTCTATCCAGATTGAAGGTAAAGGGACTCGGTACAGGCATAAGGGTCTGTCTGCATGGGCTGAGGCCTTCGTCCAGGATGATTAAAGAAGTTATATTTAAAACAAACTTTTTCACCGTGTACATAGTTTTCTTATATACAATCATTACCACCATCTTCAGCAAACAGGAAACTGTGCAACTTGCAGTTAATGGCTGTCAGCTGCCTCTGGAAAGAAAGGGTAAGCAAACTGCTCATACATTCTTCAACAAAAAAACTTCAAAAAGAGACTGCAACGAGAAATTGCAGAACTGGAATTAATTTGCAAACTGGACACAATCAAACTAGGCCTGAATAAAGACTGGGAGTGGATGGGTCACTACAAGAACTAAAAACTAATTTCCCCATGCTAATTTTCCCCCTACTGTTACTCACACCTTCTTGCCAACTGTTTGAAATGGGCCACCCTGATTACCACTACAAAAGTGATTTTTCCTCCTGTTGTTAATAGCCCACTTTAATTGAATTGTTTCATTAGAATTGATAAGGCAACTCCCATCTTTTCATGTACTGTGTATATATATTTTGCCTACTGTATTTTCCACTCCATGCATCTTATGAAGTGGGTTTTAGCTTCACTAAAGCTTATGCCCAAATAAATGTATTAGTCTCTAAGGTGCCACAAGTACTCCTCATTGTTTTTGCTCATACTTCATTGTTATCTGGTGATTTGAATGTTAAAGGCTTATCCACATTTAAATGAGCTGCAACGTCTTCACTTTAAAACATTTATATATATTGATAATTATACTCACATATATACATATGTTAATGTGGATGTGCAATAAAATAGTTTTGATATGCAAAATGATTTAAATATAATAGCTTATATAGTATATAAAGTATACTTTCTTGTTCCTTCTGGGTAATTAGAGTCAGGCTGATAATCCATTAAAATAGTCCATATGCTAGAGTGTATTTCTGTTTGTTTCTGATGCTAACCTTGTCAAAGAAATACTATTTGAAAAAGTGCAATTCTTTTATATACCCTCATTTTCTTTATTTAAATGGCAGAATATTATTACTATTAGCATTAGAGCTACATATGAAAAGTAGTATATACAAGCTAGGGAATAGGACTAGTAGTAATAAGTTCTAAAGTCATATCACACCACACAGTATGGACATATCACTGTGGACAAACGGAAAACCACCTTGTGATGTCATGCTAATATGTTACTTATTAACAGATCTTTAAAAAAAAAAAAACTAGCTTGAGCTGGATTCACACCAAGAATGCACTTCCTTCCGCAGTGAAAGGCTGAGCTTTCAAAGGATCACTTTGGAGATCGGCTGAATTTGTTGAATTCTGCAGTCAACTCCCTTAAAATGGTGAGAAAAAGGCATTCCCAGGATAAGTCGGTTTTTCATTATGCGAATCAGAACAGCTTCCCAAAGCCCGGTGATGGCTCTCCACTCAGCCTTACAGATAGCATCGGATCAGTGTTTATGAGGTAAGCTCAGTATGTTTCAGACTCTGATTGAGCATTCTGAACCTATTTTATATCTGGAGCGAGAGTAGCAGCAAAAGAGTGGGATGGCACCATAACACCTACACTGCTGGAAACCCTAATAAAGACGTTTAATTTGTAAAGGCAAAGCACACAGTGATAATGATTACAGTTGGATTAGAGACTGCACTTGGTATGCGGGAGTTAGTCTGAAGGGAGCCATGCGGGGGAATTTATGGGGGAGCACAAAATTTATGAGATTACAATTCCTTATTTTTGTATAGCAATAATAAGACTAATTAAAAAATAATAAGTAGGACTTTGAATTTGTATAGCATTGTCCATCTGAGGATTTCAAAGCTCTTTGCAGTCATTAAGCCTCATGCCAGCCCAGTGAGGGTGCAAGTATTATTTAGAAAGTAAAAGTGGATTTAAAGTGTACTAAAACAGGGAAGTAGGTCAAATATTTTCTCAAGCATTATGGCCTGTGGGCAACTTTATAGTGCTTGTTAAATTGAGTTTTAAGAGAAATTCTTAAATTTGCATAATAGCAAAAAGTGCTTGTGTGATGTGACATTTCATAAAGACTCTCCAGTAAAATGTTCTACTGGAAAAGCTCATATTCTAAGTGCAAAAAGAAAAGGAGTACTTGTGGCACCTTAGAGACTAACCAATTTATTTGAGCATGAGCTTTCGTGAGCTACAGCTCACTTCATCGGATGCATGCCGTGGAAACTGCAGCAGACTTTATTTATACACAGAGAATATGAAAAAATACCTCCTCCCACCCCACTCTCCTGCTGGTAATAGCTTATCTAAAGTGATCATCAGGTGGGCCATTTCCAGCACAAATCCAGGTTTTCTCACCCTCCACCCCCCCACACAAATTCACTCTCCTGCTGGTGATAGCCCATCCAAAGTGACAACTCTTTACACAATGTGCATGATAATAAAGTTGGGCCATTTCCTGCACAAATCCAGGTTCTCTCAGCCCCTCACCCCCCTCCCAAAAACCACACACACAAACTCACTATCCTGCAGGTAATAGCTCATCCAAAGTGACCACTCTCCCTACAATGTGCATAATTAAGGTGGGCCATTTCCAGCACAAATCCAGGTTTTCTCACATCCCCCCCACCCCCATACACACACAAACTCACTCTCCTGCTGGTAATAGCTCATCCAAACTGACCACTCTCCAAGTTTAAATCCAAGTTAAACCAGAACATCTGGGGGGGGGGGGTAGGAAAAAACAAGAGGAAATAGGCTACCTTGCATAATGACTTAGCCACTCCCAGTCTCTATTTAAGCCTAAATTAATAGTATCCAATTTGCAAATGAATTCCAATTCAGCAGTTTCTCGCTGGAGTCTGGATTTGAAGTTTTTTTGTTTTAAGATAGCGACCTTCATGTCTGTGATTGCGTGACCAGAGAGATTGAAGTGTTCTCCGACTGGTTTATGAATGTTATAATTCTTGACATCTGATTTGTGTCCATTTATTCTTTTACGTAGAGACTGTCCAGTTTGACCAATGTACATGGCAGAGGGGCATTGCTGGCACATGATGGCATATATCACATTGGTGGATGTGCAGGTGAACGAGCCTCTGATAGTGTGACTGATGTTATTAGGCCCTGTGATGGTGTCCCCTGAATAGATATGTGGGCACAATTGGCAACGGGCTTTGTTGCAAGGATAAGTTCCTGGGTTAGTGGTTCTGTAGTGTGGTATGTGGTTGTTGGTGAGTATTTGCTTCAGGTTGCGGGGCTGTCTGTAGGCAAGGACTGGCCTGTCTCCCAAGATTTGTGAGAGTGTTGGGTCATCCTTTAGGATAGGTTGTAGATCCTTAATAATGCGTTGGAGGGGTTTTAGTTGGGGGCTGAAGGTGACGGCTAGTGGCGTTCTGTTATTTTCTTTGTTAGAAAGAAAATAAGAAAATGACAAAGAAAATAACAGAACGCCACTAGCGGTCACCTTCAGCCCCCAACTAAAACCCCTCCAACGCATTATTAAGGATCTACAACCTATCCTAAAGGATGACCCAACACTCTCACAAATCTTGGGAGACAGGCCAGTCCTTGCCTACAGATAGCCCCGCAACCTGAAGCAAATACTCACCAACAACCACATACCACACAACAGAACCACTAACCCAGGAACTTATCCTTGCAACAAAGCCCGTTGCCAATTGTGCCCACATATCTATTCAGGGGACACCATCACAGGGCCTAATAACATCAGCCACACTATCAGAGGCTCGTATACCTGCACATCCACCAATGTGATATATGCCATCATGTGCCAGCAATGCTCCTCTGCCATGTACATTGGTCAAACTGGACAGTCTCTACGTAAAAGAATAAATGGACACAAATCAGATGTCAAGAATTATAACATTCATAAACCAGTCGGAGAACACTTCAATCTCTCTGGTCACGCAATCACAGACATGAAGGTCGCTATCTTAAAACAAAAAAACTTCAAATCCAGACTCCAGCGAGAAACTGCTGAATTGGAATTCATTTGCAAATTGGATACTATTAATTTAGGCTTAAATAGAGACTGGGAGTGGCTAAGTCATTATGCAAGGTAGCCTATTTCCTCTTGTTTTTTTCTACCCCCGCCCCCCCCCGATGTTCTGGTTTAACTTGGATTTAAACTTGGAGAGTGGTCAGTTTGGATGAGCTATTACCAGCAGGAGAGTGAGTTTGTGTGTGTATGGGGGTGGGGGGGATGTGAGAAAACCTGGATTTGTGCTGGAAATGGCCCACCTTAATTATGCACATTGTAGGGAGAGTGGTCACTTTGGATGAGCTATTACCTGCAGGATAGTGAGTTTGTGTGTGTGGTTTTTGGGAGGGGGGTGAGGGGCTGAGAGAACCTGGATTTGTGCAGGAAATGGCCCAACTTTATTATCATGCACATTGTGTAAAGAGTTGTCACTTTGGATGGGCTATCACCAGCAGGAGAGTGAATTTGTGTGGGGGGGTGGAGGGTGAGAAAACCTGGATTTGTGCTGGAAATGGCCCACCTGTTGATCACTTTAGATAAGCTATTACCAGCAGGACAGTGGGGTGGGAGGAGGTATTTTTTCATATTCTCTGTGTGTATATAAAGTCTGCTGCAGTTTCCACGGCATGCATCCGATGAAGTGAGCTGTAGCTCACGAAAGCTCATGCTCAAATAAATTGGTTAGTCTCTAAGGTGCCACAAGTACTCCTTTTCTTTTTGCGAATACAGACTAACACGGCTGCTACTCTGAAACCTATTCTAAGTGCCAAATCCAGCTCCTCTTCGGCAGTCCAAGAGGTCTCCCAAGCTGCACTACTATCAATCACCACACTATCAGTGTGGTTCCATTGGCCAGTGAAGGTTCTGGATGCCGGGCGGACTGTACAGTGGGTGTACAGCTTCCTGCATGGCATGGCATGGCATGCACTCTTCTCTGAGCAGGGGTGGAGTGGGAGGAGCTTACACAAGTGAAGGAAACAGAAAGGGGAAGGCCAGAGGGTCCACTGCTATGTGGATCCTCTCATCCGCCCCTTCTGTGGGCAGGGGTGCTGGAACAATTTGTAGAGGCCAGAATAACTGGCAACAGCAATGAAGATCTGAACTTCACAGCTGACCTTTATCTCTAAAATCTCTACATTCAAATCCCCCAAACTTTAGAAAAGTCTCATGACAAACAGTCAAAAGAAAAAAAGTCCCCTTCAATTACGTCATGCAATAGGGGACAGCCAAAAAATGACAAGTTTTTAAAATGCTTTGAAACCAATGCTAGAAGTCTAAATAATAAGTTGGGAGAACTAGAGTGCCTCGTATTAAATGAGGATATTGATATAATAGGCATCACAGAAAACTGATGGAATGAGGATAATCAATGGGACACAGTGATACCAGGGTACAAAATATATCGGAAGGACAGAACAGGTCGCGCTAGTGGGGAGTGGCACTATATGTGAAAGAAAGTATAGAATCAAATGAAGTAAAAATCTTAAATGAACCAAATTGTACTATAGACTCTCTATGGATAGTAATTTCATGCCTGAAAAATAAGAATATAGCAGTAGGGCTATATTACAGACCACCTGCCCAGGATGGTGTTAGTAACTCTGAAATGCTCAGGGAGATTAGAGAGGCTATTAAAATAAAAAACTCAATAATTATAATAATGGGGGATTTCAACTATCCCCATATTGACTGGGTACATGTCACCTCAGGATGGGATGAAGAGATAAAGTTTCTTGACACCTTAAATGACTGCTTCTTGGAGCAGCTAGTCTGGAACCCACAAGAGGAGAGGCAATTCTTGATTTAGTCCTAAGTGAAGCACAGGATCACGTCCAAGAGGTGAATATAGCTGGACCGCTTGGTAATAGTGACCAGAATATAATTAAATTTAACATCCCTCTGGCGGGGAAAACTCCGCAGCGGCCCAACACTGTAGCATTTAATTTCAGAAAGGGGAACTACAAAAAATGAGGAAGTTAGTGAAACAGAAATTAAAAAGGTACAGCGCCCAAAGTCAAATCCCTGTAAGCTGCGTGGAAACTCTTTTAAAAGACACCATAATAGAGGCTCAACTTAAATGTATACCCCAATTTAAAAAACATAGTAAAAGAATCAAAAAAGAGTCACTGTGGTTAAACAACAAAGTAAAACAAGCAGTGAGAGGCAAAAAGGCACCCTTTAAAAAGTGGAAGATACATCCTAATGAGGAAAATAGAAAAGAGCATAAACTCTGGTAAATGAGTGTAAAAATATAATTAGAAAGACCAAAAAAGAATTTGAAGAACAGCTAGCCAAAGACTCCGAAAGTAATAGCAAAACCTTTTTTTAAATACACCAGAAGCAGAAAGCCTGCTAAACAACCAGTGGGGCCACTGGACGATCGAGATGCTAAAGGAGCATTCAAGGATGATAAGGCCATTGCGGAGAAACTAAATGAATTCTTTGCATCAGTCTTCACTGTTGAAGATGTGAGGGAGATTCCCGAATCTGA